TATGTCTCGTAATGATTCATTTTAGAAATACGCAATCTTAATTATAATATTCAAGGGGATATTGACTATTTTTTCATATTTGTGATATTTTAATTTGTAATATTTATACTCGCTTACTTATTTATAGCTATTATCATAATTTCTGGAAACCTTATACCGAACGATTTTTCAGCCGATTTGGTTAAGCATGAGATTTTTGGAGTAATAGATTCAATAAATTTATATACGTGAGGCCACCAAGGGATAAACTTATTATCAGGCTTTCAATTATATTTGTACCGGGTATAATTCCTAATAAATTAGATTTGCCTGATACAATTAATTGAAAACCTGATAACAGTTTTTTCTTGCCAACATTTATATATGTAATTTAAGATCAGGATATTTTCAAAGCATTTTCGCCGGCAAATAGTTGAAAAAAAAAAAAAATTTAGAAGGAATGAATTAAGTCCAATTGGTGCCAGAAATCATTTGAATTAAATGAGAACACACATGAAAAAATGAACCACCACTATACCAAATTGGTATAGTGTGGGTTTATTTTTTTATACGTGTTCTTATTTAATTTTGTAATGTTATTTAATATCGTGTTATCTTTCTAAATCAGGTAACTTATTGTTTTATTTTGTGTTTTTTTTTCTATCTTTGGTTATTTGTATTTTTAATGGATGGTTTGCTTGTTTTTGTATTATTGATTTAATCGTTGTTAGCTTATCTAATGTTCACATATGAATTCTTAACGACTCTAATTATTATTAGTATTTTATTTGAGGTTAGTTTTTGTCGATATTTATTTTATGTTTGTGCTGATTTTTTATGAAATATTAGAATGGCGAGTTTTGACTTCATTTTGACATCATTTATTTTATTAATTTCGAATGTGAGGTTTATATGATATAATTTATTATTGCTTTATTTATTAATCATTTTTTCAAGTCAAAAAAATAAAGCCACTTTTATTTTTTAGCGATTCGTTATGCCTTGTCACGGCGATACAATTGTGAAGATAAATCAGGTTCGGCAAACTTGCAACGATGATTCGAAATTGATCGCTATACGGGCTGTTGGTGTTTTTCCTGTTGAGAGCAATGATCGCGAGTTAGATCTGTCCTTATTTATTCCAATGAATGATGAAGAGAGAGATCCTAATTCACAGTCAATTTTTGAATTAAACGAGTATTACTGCGTCGGTGAAAAAGTTGTACTTGGAAGTTATAATGAGAATTTAAGATTGAAAGTTTGTATTTTTGGTTTTATCTGTTAAAATATTGAAATGTTTGTTGAATTTTTTTTTTAAAAAATTTAGATGACTGTCGCATCATCAACCCACCTCGCAATCAAAAGAGACCTTGGTTCAAATAGGTGCCCATTAAAAGTTTCACTTGTTGGAGTTGCTCAAGATGCACCAAAGGAGATCAATAATGAAAACGCGATAATTAATGTATTAGTAAATGATTATGCCGGGCAAGTTTATAGTTTCACAATTAAAATCATTTTTCCATACTGTAATTCTCGGTTTAAACATTTAATGAATTCTTCTCGATTGAACGAGTCAGTGCTTTTTGTCGTAGGGCAAATGGAAATTATTGATAAGGATCTATACGTATATGCCGTTGATATCTCTTTTGTTGATATTAGTTCTGTGACAAAGAAGAAAGTTTCTGTTTTTGAAAATTCTTCAGCATTGTATAGATCAGTTCGTTCAAGGCTCTTAACCATACATCAGAGTATTAATGAAGATTCGTTTAATGTATCTGAGATAAAAAATTCTGATCTTGGTAAAGAAAAAAGTGAGCATAAAGTTGATTTGATTACCGAAGATTCTCACGTAACGAAACATACAAGGTTGGAAGATGAGAAAGATGATTATGTCGAGTATGATGAACATGACAATAAACATAAAAACGAAAGTGCAAATATGGGTAATGGGTACAAAGATAATATTGCTTACGATAGCAAGGGTTCCGGATGTAGTTCTGAAGG